TAAGGACTTAGTTTTACATGGATGTTGACACCGTACTAAACAAACAACAACAACAACAACAACAACAAAAACTAAATGACAACAGAGTAGGGCTGGGCGATACGGCCAAAAAATCCTATCTCTGTATTTTTCGGCTGAAATGCGATATATAAACAATAAAAGTGCATTTATTTTAATTTAATAAGGTGATTCCTCACCGCAGAGGAGAGAGAAGGTAGATGAAAGCTTCACTGCAGCGGTGGAGTTTGATGTTGGCATTATTCAGCTTTTCAGAGTCTTTGGCCAATGTCTGTTTGCAAACCTGCGACATGAGCAGCAGTCGACTTCCTGGAGGAGCCATGTGGGTATTTCTGAATATTTTGGCTTTCTTTAGGGTGCCCTCTACTACAAAACAAAATATGAAGAGTTAGCAATTCTATAATCTGGTTAACCATCAATCATTTTAAGCTAAACTAAACATTCAAACCATTTTAATTAAAGAGTATGGCTTTTGGTACTGTTCCCTTAAGATTTCTATTTAAATTATGTCGTTGTATATGAAAAGTTTTTGTTTCCACTCACAATTTAAAGGGGTCATGAACTGGCTTTTTTAAATTATTTTATACTGTACTGTTGCCTGAGGTCCACTTATGACGTTTGCATGGTTTTTACATTCAAAAATCAATTAAGTGATAGGCTTTTCTACCCTGGTTTAGAGGCTGGCTCGAGAAACGCTCGGTTTTTATGGGCATGGCGCATTGAAGACCTGGAAGTAAACACCCACTGCTATGATTGGATAACAGTTTTGCATAGTAAACTACCTTTCTGTGTGTCTGTTTGACAAGCTCCGTCCTTCATAGTTGAAGCCTTCTGTGACTTTTGTAGACACGTACACATAATCAGGACATATCAAGCGATCTTTAACAAAGCAATAGTGACACAGTACAAATATTTTTTTACTCATATAAGTGTGCTGCGCCAATATAGATGGCACAGCATTAATATTTAATCTCAGTCTCTCTGCAAATCCTGCATCGACCTGTGTCTTGTTTACAAAGGAATCTGCGGTGAAATGAAGCGAACAAACGCTCAATGTTTTACTCACGTGAGCTGAAACTTCATTAAAAATAAAGTTCAACCACGCATTCCTAACATTTGAATCTGAAGGAAGGTTATGCAGCGACTGTGTTCTTCCACAACCAGGCACTGCACAATATTTTGCGATCTTTAATGGCATGTTTATTGCTTGGTTGCTCGATCCAGTTTAGCGCCACTTACGTTATTTCCCTACTGTGTCATGCTCGAGTCAGTGGGCGGGGCTACAGAATTAGGTGTTGATATTTTTCTGTGGAGGTGGTGTTTAACCTATCTATTATGTCATAGGTAGGCACATTCCAGGATCTGGCTTTCTCTGGGCCTGGTGTCAATAAAAGCTTTTATTTCAGTAACAAGGACGTTTTCAGTTCTGAAACTTACAGGATATTCTTTTAGTAAGATGATCTCTTTTATATCAAAAGTAAAAGTTGCTCAAGTAAAAGTTGATTTCTAAATTCATGACCCCTTTAAATGAAACTATACCACAAATATTCCTAAAGAACATTTGATTTGTGAAACTTTAAACCCCCTTGAAAAAAATCAACTTTATTCCTTTGACAAGAACTTCCAGTTTACCTTGCAGGGCCCATGCTAGTTTCTTTCCCGATTGTGAGCAGGTGGAGATGCCGAAGGGGTTGAGGCAAAGGGCCTGATGCAGAAACCCCTGGAACTGCTGCAGAGAGTAGGAGCGGCTGAGTTTGGAGAATCCTGCCTGGGACTGCAGTGGCGAGCGGCTCAGGAGCTTGTGGATTGGGTACACGGTACGGCTATGGTTCACAGATCCTTCCAGCAACAAACTGAGGCATTCCAGGGCCTCTGAAGTGAGCTGGCTGTCACGCAGAACATGCCCTGAATTGCTCAGCTGGCCTGGCTCTACTAGCAGCTCCAAAAGCTCAGCCAGGTGTGTCTGAATGAAAGTAAGATGAGCCTGGTCGTCCCAGTTCTGGTCAAACAGAAGGAATAAACAAACTATCATGCAAAAAAATAAACAAAATACATAAGTCTTTATAAACCCCAAAAAACTGATCTTTCCTACAGGATACAGGCACAAATGTAATGTACACCTGACTGTGTGAGTAACAAGTTAAAGTACATTCAGAGGACATACAAAAGTGAATCTGATGATGTCTGGGGATACATTTCACCCCATAAGAAAAAAATAAGAGATTGTATTTTGCATAAGGAAAAATTTAAACAATTTGTAAAGATTTTCCATTTTTTTAATATTTAAATTATTTTCCATTATTTTCATGACAATGAAACATCCCCAATTTTCCATTTCATAAATTAAATAAAATATAAAATAGAACAAAACAAATACATACATTTCTATTATATATAATTGTTAACTATTTGTACATTCACATAAACTGTTCAAAAATTTTTTTGTAATGTTTTTGTCCCTTATGCTCACCAATGCTTCAAAAGAACAACATTTATTTGAAATTTAATCCATCATTGCTGAGTAAAAGTATTAATTTATAAAAAAAAAAAAAAAACCTTAATGACCTTAAACTTTTGAATGGTAGCATACACCCCCCCACACACACACACACACCCACCCCACAAATCATTGTATGTCATGAAATTTTTTTTTACATTTTTTTCTTTTGATTCATAATGGAATGACCGATGTTTTCATAAAATTCACCCACACACCTTATTTTGGGAGCTTATTTTGTTGTCTCTCTCAGAGGAGGAAGAGGGAGATCTGGGACTTGGCCACTCTTCCCCAATCAGTGACGTGCGGAGAGAGATTCGGTTCAGTTGCTGTAGATACAAGAAAAGCAGAAACTGCAGAGTGTCCACTGACAGCTAAAAGAAGACATAGAGAAAAAGATTAGCACAGCAGAACGGCAATAATACTATCTAAAAGCACTACACCGTTTTTCTTCTTACCTTACAGCGCTGCCTGTCAAGTTCCTTAGGGTTGTGGCATTGAGATAGAGCTTCTGCCCACTCTAATCTCTGCTCTGCAGAACGAGGCATCAACAGATCAAAAGTTTCAAAATACAGCCAGGAAAGCTCCTCTGCCAGCTGCAGTTTGCCACAAGCGATGTGTCGCCACATGTGCCAGCCGAGCCTGGGGAAGCAACCGTCCCGGGTCCGGACGTAACAGGCCATCTTGCGCAGATAATGCATGTTGAATTTGCTTGGGGGTGTGGCGGGAAGCACCCCGATCAGGAAGGGCTCCAGACGTGGCCATACACATGCTGTGTATTTGTCCATTTCTATTGAAGAAAAAAGATTTGTTCAAACGAGTGAGCTGAGTCAGGAGAAAGTATCAAATCACCATTAACATGGCTGTATACGTGCATAAGTGATAATGCACTGGCAAATTGCATAATATGTTGTAGACAATAATAATATGAATGGTAAGAAATGGTAACAATAGAAAGGCTGGATAGAGAGTTTACAAAACAACTGGAAAGTCAAGGTCAGAATTGTATCATATCATATGAGTTACAGTCAAGCAATAGCCTTGATAGCCTTGTTAAAATGAACTTTCAATGTTTCCATGACAGCCACATCATCCCAGTAAAGTATCTAGATGCTAATCTGCAACTTTTTCCGTTTATTTTTTTATTAATGTCATACACAAGAAATACAATTAGAAATATTAATTCAAAAGTGCAAAACATTACAATAAGGCTTAAAATAATTAATTTTAAAGTGATTAAAATTTGGTTTGGAGTCATACCATTTCATTTTATGAATGGGAAACATTACCATTAACATTAGCAACAGTATAATATATGCCTTATCTTTATCAATTACACAGTCATTGAAGTTTATCATTATGTCAGATCCACTAAACTGTAAAGCAACATTCAATTTCTTCTTTTTTAAATGTTCCACATCAATCCAGAAGGTTTTTGTATGTATACAACGGAAAATAAATGGCTTATTTTACTCCAATTCAAGTGTCCAAACACAGAAAACAAGAAAAACGATGTGTAGGATCTCTCTTTTTGCAAAATATTTATATTACCAATAACAATTATGTCAAACTCTCGATGTAAGCCAGATTTAGATCAGTCAGCCAACTTTCTGACAAGTTTAGCAACATCTAACTGTTATTCCAGAACTAATAACGTTACACCAACACAGTGATAATGGGCTTAGCTTTTATTCTCCTTACCTGATCCTTGAAAGTGTTAGGGCTTCAAAAGGTGGTCATCTTTCTTTCATAGGTTAAAATATAATAAACATATATAAAATATATTTTTAACTGAAATGCTTTCCGATGCTGTTCACACTGACGCGCGCGCAACCCGATACCAAACATAGGCGCCTCACGAACGCGCGCTGCTATGCCGCTCAAAACTTCATAATTTTCATCTTTTCATTCACTCCACCATTATTAGAGGTCCACACAATAACCAAACCGTCACCTTAGATTAATCAATTAGTTCAAGCCTAATAAACATGTAAGATCTCTAAATAAATATTATCTCTAAGAAAACAAACGATAAAACAGCACAACTGTTCATGAGCGGTTGCCATGTCTGCGTCACAATGTGACGTAACACAAATAGTTCCCTTTGCAGTCCGACTTCATTTCAATGTAAAAGTCAGACAAAAACCTTTTTTTACGATGATAAAAACAATATTTGGTGTTATTTATACATCTTCAAGTATTCGTTGATAATATACAGTACTTTCTGACAGCCTTCTTTTAGAAGTGCTTCTCCCGATTTCAAAATAAAAGTTAGTTAATTTAGTCTAATATAAGACATTTAAAGCTATTTAACTGTCTTATTTTTATAATAGTTTTAATAAATGTAACCTAGTTTTGATTTTATTTTTCAAAAATACAAGACAGCAGTGTATGAAATTTTAAGCTTAGTCCTTACAAAAGAGAAACCATATCAACCTTATATTAAAAACAAAGAAATCTTTCTCTCCAAATGCGTTGACTTGTGTTGCTCACTGCGCATGCGCGGATGTGCGGAAGTGCTTGCAGACCGATAGCCAGCTGATAGATCAACAACCGAACAGCCACCACGAAAACAGCCGCGACTGGCAACAACAGGTAGAAATCCCTAATGTTGGTAGTTTTATATGACTCTATGTATGTAAAAGAGGTGTTATTCTTTTAGAAACTTATGTTCATGGCACCGCTCGGCCCGCTTCGCCTGGATCGAGACGAGTCACGTTAATGGTCAGAGTCTGTATTGCGTCTCTAATGCATTCCATCAGACACAATCACCTGACTGACAGAGTTATGGATTAGAACACCTACACATACACCTGGTTATTACAGTTATGCATTAGATAAGCGGATATGTCCTTGATTATTAGAGTTATTAATCAGATCAGTCGACATACTCCTGATTATCGAATTTATTTATCAGGACCAATAAACATACACCTGATTTTTAGAGTTATTATTCAGATCAGTAGACATACACCAGATTATTGGAATTATTATTCAGATCAATAGACATACACCTGATTTTTAGAGTTATTATTCAGATCAATAGATATATGCCATATTAATAGAGTGATAAATCAGATCAATAAACAAACACCTTATTTTTAGAGTAATTAATCAAATCGATGGACATACACTTGATTATAATAGTGATTAATCGGATCAGTAGATATATGCTTTATTAATAGAGTTATTATTCAGATCAATAAACATACGCCTGGTTATTAGAGTTATTAAACACATCAATAGGCTTCCACGTGATTATTAGATTGATTAATCAGATCAATAGTCATACACCCGATTATTAGACTTGCATCTGTTTATTGGACTTATGCATTAATTCGCATGCAGTATACAGTTGACATACTGGTAAAAATTATGGATTAAAGATGTTATGTAAAACTGGAGGGTCTAATGGATAGTTGAAGTTTATGAATATTCAGGATGAAACACAACATTCAAATGGACAAATACTGTATCATGCAGTGGCCACCCTATAGCTTCACTATGTGAGAAAATGTGAGTGCAAATCATGGTAACTCTTAATTTTACAATGGAAATGTCAAGCAGTATGTGTAAATGCAATTCATTACAACAACATTATCAATATAACTGTATAATTACAATCAGCTCAACAAAGATGTTACATATTAAGTGCACATTGATTATATTGTTATTTTACTAACACTTTATTTAATGCCTTTATGTTGCTGTATGAAATGGCCAGCCGACTTCGACTTATGTACTTAAAGCAGATAAGCTATAAATATTTGCACTGCAAAACGATACTGATGCAAACTCAGAGAGCAGAACAGCACACGACTGAGAAACCACAAAGAGGTGAGAGTTTCACAAAACTGGTGGACAAACTGGTGCACAATATCTAGGTTATTGATCATTGTTTATGTCGCCATCCATCACAAGAGGAATTTTCAACAATAAAATTAATTCTTGGGGAGGAACTGTGGATTTGGAATGTATGAGGGAGGCTGTACTTTCAATATCCAGATATTTTCACTGAGATGCCAAGATAAGTGTTGATTTGTTTCGTGCTATGCCCATCTAAACAATCTTGAAGTTCACTTGAGCTGAGATACTTGCCACATTGTTTTCTTGAGACATTTTTAAGCTGTTGAATCAGAAATATTATTTACGAAAGTTTATGACACACAGATTTAAACTGTCATGAGGATGTTTAGCAATGAACTCTTACCTAAGAAATGTTATTTTGTTGCTTTACTCATCAGCTTCCCTATTTCTGATGAGAACTGATTCACTACTTAGAGCATCTGTGGTTATGACTGCTGACTTGAAAGTTGTAATTTGGCTGTGTAGAGAGGGAGACGAGAACTGTTCAACTGTTTTTACCTGTTATTTGATTTGTTTTAGTTTAGTTTTGCTATAGCCCTAGTGGTTTTTTTTTTACTAGAGCATAGTTGAAGGGATCGATTACCCAGAAATGAACATTTTGGCATTATTTACTCACCCTCATGTTGTTGCAAACACGTATGACTAGCTGTCTTCTGTGGAACATAAAAGAAGATATTAAAAAAAATGTCTCAGTGTGTTTTTAATTGCTTGTAATGACAAAAACAGTCATTTTCAATAAGTTAACTCTCTTTTACCAGAATGTTTTAGTTGTAAGTTACTTCCTCTTCCACTACCCGTTCCACTAACATCCTAATCTTATTGTTGTTTGTTTTTTAGCATCACAGTCTGACAGCTGTCCTCACAGCTTAAAAAGTCTCCAGTACTTAAAAAAACAAAACTTGACTGTTTTAAGTTGCTGCTTTTAAAGACGCTGTCAGGGAGGACGGCCACCCTTCCTACATCATGAGCACTCGTGGGACCAGCAGGGCCAATGGAAGCCTACCGCAGACCAAGATCTGCCAGTTCAAATTGGTGCTGCTGGGAGACATGGCCGTAGGCAAGTCCAGCCTGGTGCTGCGCTTTGTTAAGGGCCAGTTTGATGAGTTTCAGGAGACCACCATTGGAGGTGAGGCATAGGTGATGAATTTGAATTGAGTTCATACACATGGGTATTGATGTTTAGGTAGATTTTGGTTGTTTTAAAGCATTTACATTCCTACATACAGTACCGATCAAAAGTTTGGGGTCAGTAAGTTTTGGTTTTTGAAATAAATTAATACTTTTATTCAGCAAGGACACATAAAAAATATTTAAAGTGACTGTTAAGATTATTGCATTGCTACAAAAAAAATTTAACTTCAAATGAATGCTGTTCTTTTGTACTTTCTATTCATCAAAGAATCCTTAAAAAATGTATCTCCATTTCTACTTCTGCATTGATAATAATAAATATTTCTTAAGCACCAAATCAGCATATTAGAATGGGTTCTGTAAGATCATGTGACACTGATGACTGGAGTAGTGGCTGCTAAAAATTCTGATTTGCTCTCAGAGTAATTAATTACATTTTAAAATGTATTAAAATAGAACATACTGTAATAATATTTCATAATACTACTGTTTTTACTCTTTATTTTTTTAGTCAAATAAATGCAGCCTTGGTGAGTATAAGAGAATTCTTTCAAAAACATTGCAAATATTACTGCCCCCGAAATTTTGAATGGTATTGTACATAATTTGCTAGATCATTTTACCATGCACAACCAATTGTGCTACAGGAACACTAGTTTAAAAAAAAAACACACACAATTGCACACCTAGATTTTTGCCTATTACCCGTTTTGCAAATAAACACTTCAAGAGCAGGAAGAATACCAGGGAGAACCTTGTCAGAGTCTCATTGGGTGAGAGCAGCACAGTCAGCAGTGAGAACACACTTGTGGATTCTTTACATCGATCTGTAACATTGTGCTAACTTGACTTCAAACTGAGCTGATCTTGTACTTAGTCATAGCAGTAGATGCCATCACGTGTGAGTATGATGACAAACCAGGTTCACTATCTCTGAGTATAATCTTCACACTAGTATTTGCAAACATTGTTATAGACTTTGGCTCCCATAAATTAGAATCAGACATATACCATATAAATTAACTTATTGCAACACTAATATTAGACTGGAGTTCTTGCTAAAGCAATAAAGCACTTGAGGTCATGGATCGCAGTGATTTGACCACGGTTAAGGGGTATTTAAAAGCATGAACTGAAGATAAAATCACATTAAAACACTGCCTTGAGTGGCTTATTGCTTTTATAAAACTGCAGCAACAGCAGTATATGATAAAAGATGCAGATGTTCAATGAATAATTAATTCAAATAAATTAAAATTATTAAAAGAAAAATAACATTAATAATAGTAATCATAATAAATAATTCTACTGCTTAGTAAATTGTTCATTAGCTTTAATATAAGTTTTTACACTTGCTTTAACCCTTGCTGTATTTAGACCATAATGTTTTGTTTGTACATTAAAAACTTAAGTTTTAGTATTCTATTTTATTCTATTCAAAACAGTTTTATTAGCATTATTTGTATACTATTATAGTATTTTTATATATTTAGAAGTACTTTTCCCTTTCATTTTTGTTAGTTTTAATGTCCATTTTGAGTGAAAGTTTTAGTATTTTATGATTTTGTCATTTTTATAACCCTGATTCCAAGAACAAAGAATGTCAAGACTCATCAGTATTATTAATCTTTGAATCTCTGGCTTAGATTACTTATCTTTTTTTTTTTTTATCTGTTGCTCACCATCAGCTGCATTCTTGGCACAGTCCGTTTGTCTGGATGACACTACAGTGAAGTTTGAGATTTGGGACACGGCTGGACAGGAACGCTACCACAGCTTGGCCCCTATGTACTACCGTGGAGCCCAGGCGGCTATTGTAGTTTTTGACATCACCAAGCCTGTAAGTTTACAATGGTACACACTTTATATAAAGGATACAAACTTTCATTTGGTAAAATAGTAGATTTGTTGCTTAGTCTTTAGCCATGTGTTTGTAGGAAACATTCGAGCGAGCAAAGGCTTGGGTGAAAGAGCTGCAGCGGCAGGCCAGTCCCAACATTGTCATTGCTCTCGCAGGAAACAAGGCTGACCTAGCAGACAAGAGACTTGTGGATTATGAGGTCATACCTTTCTTTAATCATATTTCAAGACATGGGTGGTGTTAGGGTTTTTCCTGTCAATGAAATGACAAAAAGACTCACATCGTGGTTTGATTTATAAATAGCTCTGGGATTGTTGTGTGCATAGTGTGGTGCTGTTTGTATTTCAACCTTAAAAAGCACACAGAACAGAATTAAAATGTTTCAATGTCAAAATGCGGTACCATTCAAAAGTTTGTGGTTGGTGAGATTTTTAATGGTTTTGAAAGAAGCCTCTTATGCACACGAAAGACTGCTTTTATTTGATCAGAAATACAGTAAAACATTGTAAAATATTAATTTAAAATAACTTTTATTTTTAATATATTTTATAATGTTATTATTCCTTTGACGGCAAAGCTGAATTTTGAGCAGCCATTACTGCAGTCTTCAGTGTCACATAATCCTTCAGAAATCATTCTGATATGCTTATTTTGTGCTTAGGAAAAATCTCTTATTATTATCAATGTTTTGTGGAAACCGTGATTTTCAGGATTTTTTGATGAATAGGAAGTTCAGAAGAACAGAGAGTATTTATGTGAAATCGAAATCCTTTGTAGCATTAAAAAATGTCTTTACTGTCACTGTTTTATCAATTTAATGCATCTTTGCTGTATAAAAGCATATATTTGTGTATATAGTTGTGTTAATGGTGGTACATTTTATATTTAAAAAATTACATTTTGCAGCCAAAACTGTTGACTATTTCTCTAATGTCTTGTGTGCCGTAACCCAGATATTAATTTTACATTTCTGTACAGGAAGCCCAGACATATGCTGAAGACACGGGCTTACTTTTCATGGAAACATCTGCCAAGACTGCAATGAATGTAAACGAGTTGTTCCTGGCCATTGGTGAGCGTTAAAGCTGTCTTCTTACTAGTGTATTCTCTTCTGCACCTGGTTATTGTAAACCTTAAGCTTTAGAAAACTGTTAGACTTTTGTTTACAGGCAGAATTAAAATTCCCCTGAAATCCGAGTGAAACAGACTATCAAAAAAAGCAAACATGTTTCTTTTAGTCAGTTGTTGATTGGAGGCAGATCTGAACACAAGCTTGCAGTCGAATGTAAGAAAAGGACAGGGTTTAAACAGACTACATGATTGAAGATGTCTTTTTTTTATCAATAGCAAAAAAGATGCCAAAAACAGACTCCCAAAACCCCACGCATGCTGCCCGACACAGGGGGGTAAACCTTCAGGACCCAGATGCACAGTCCACTCGAAGCTGCTGTGGGAACTAAAGGCCTGTCAACACTCCACCACGGGAGACCACCGACACCTGCTCCTTCCCAAAATCCCACCCTTTACCCTTTCACCTCCTAAGACGGATACAGAAAGAAATAGAAGGATAGAGGAATAACAGAAAGAGATTGAGGAAAAATCCCTCAGTGATGCCATAAAGAGATTTTCAAGGAAGACTTCTGATGGACAGGGCAGAAAGCGAACGGACGATGGACACTGTCATATCTGGCAGTAAATACGGATTCTGTATTTATTTAAGTCTACAATAATTTCAGCCTCTGTTCATTTTCATTATGCAAGCACCAGGGTTTCACCCAAAGAGAAAAGAGATTGGCAAAGAGATACAGGAACACAGAAGAATCACAATGAACAGAAGAATTATTTAATCGACAAATCCCGTTCTCAGTCCTAGAATGAACCGAGATGGTCCATAAAGCCCCTTTAAAATAGCTGGAAGTCTTCAAGCGAAATCTACACTGAGTATCCGTATGCTCTGGGCTCTCCCATTCTGATCCCAACTCTGACACTGGAAGGAAGTCAGCACCTTAACCTAAGCTAACCCTTGCAATTCTCCAACCATGAGCCACATCTAATAAATTTTTCAACTACAAAAGGAACACTGAAGCAGAAGTTATTCATTCACCCTGACCTTGTTTTCTTCAGCCTCCAGCTTTATTTATTACCTTTGTTCGAACTGGTCTCCCTTACGTAGCTCGTCATTCATCTTAGACCCAAAAAGTATTGAAGAACACCAATGTTGTCTTCCCTATCCCATTTCCTTCTCCCGACCACATTGATCTTGAAGTTCAGTGTTGAAGTTCACGAAACAACAGCAAGCTCTACGATGCCTTCTCTACGTTCTCGTCGCTTTGTGTAAACTACTGTTTAAGAAACAATCGACAAATCATTCACAACACACTGGCAGAAACCAGATGACCGTAGATGATCGTAAACCATTTCGCTTCACGAGTAATCGCAGAATAACGCACATTGATTCTTCTGGACTAGGAAGTCATGCAATACTAGGCCAATGTCTCAGTATGTGTTATTAAAAAGCAACAAAAATATTCAAGCACCCACAAATCAACAACGTGAATGATTTAGCAACCATTGTTGTGCGATATGCCGGGACGGCAAATAGCAGCAAGGGAAATTTTGGTCCACAAAGCCCCTGAAAAAGTGGGAAAAAAAAGAAGTGCCTACTCCGTTTTTTCCGTGTTCTTTGTTTTGGGCTTGTTTGAGGTCGTCAGACCGCCGAAAAGTAGCGTTTCGAGACGGTGGCCGAAGTGTACAGGCAAAAACCTGTAAGAATAATTAGTTGAGCGTGTTAGTAACGGGAGTCATTTATGAAGTTTTGTTTTATGAATGCTGTTTGTTGATGTGTATAAAAATGAGTTTTATTTAAAATTGATTTTAGTCAGTAATTCAATGGGTTACCAATACATTTATATTGTCATTTAGGGAATTAATTAGGTATCATAATATGGTGTCACACAGCTAGAAGTCATTTGTCATGTGTCTTCAGGTCCACCTTTTTTGTGGAATAGATCTGATCTCCTGTTAACACCTTTGTGAACTGAAATGTTAAATAAAGCTGTGCTGTTCTGCTATGAATGAAATGTGGCTTTAGTTTCCGTGGCTTTTCGACTAGCTTGCCAACAGTCATTTATGAGGAAGAAGCATTCAACAATTGTCCAGCTGCACCCATGTTACGTGTCACTGTAATATTTACTCTTAAAGTGTCTAAACTAAATGCCAGTAGCAGCACCAAATTATATAGCAAACATACTGACCAGACAGGTTTCCCAAAAACTCCTAGTGCTGGATGCTAATAGATAGCTCTCTAGGAATACAGTGCTGCATTCCACACTCAGAACTTTGGAATATCCCCTCCTCCTGCTTGAATATAACCGGGATGGCACTCCAGGTCAAACGTCCAACTTGAAAAGTCAACAGAGCATGATTGGAATGGTTCGAGATCGGAATATAGAAGCTTAATCTCTAATATAGTGCTGGGGGAAACCCCAAAAACAAGTGAGCATTTTTGCACATACTCTTCCATTGTTCTGAAGTCGATGGGTTTTAGTTAAATGCCTTAAAGTCTGTGGTTAACACAAGCTCAAGTTATTTCCACATTTTATTCTATGGCATAAAATATATTAGTAATACAATACTCGTGATTTCTTGAAGATTGAAATTAAAGACTGAATTTGTAATCCATTTTTTGCCTTTTTTTTTTTTTTGCATTTATGCTTCAAAATTCATAAAAATTTTATGTTTTCACAAATGAAGATTATCTTTATGAATGTGTATCATAAACTTTTGTTGGTCACAGAGCTCATTTTATGCAATTATTCAAAACACGATTGAAAAATATTTGCTTTTTGTTGAGGTAACCAGGATGATGCCAACAGCTCAGTGACACTGGCTAGCCAAAAACGAAAGTTGCTCAGTTATTGCCTTTTTATGAAAGACTGAGATAGAATATACAACAAAAATAAGACATCAGGATCATATATTATTTAGACTTTGATTTATTTACAATAAAATGGTAAAGCCAAATCAATCACCACAAAGCTAATAAAATAACAGCCAAGACAGAGTAAACTACTCAGTGTGAAGTGATATATTTGGCTAAAAATATAGAAAGGAACAGATCATTAAAACTCATCACAACGGAAAATAAATGACAAATACAAGATAAAAATTCACGGTTGTGGTGTTACTTTATACACATGAAAATACAAAGAAAATTGGTTGTTCCAAACCTTGACATTTCTGGAAATAGTTTTTCTTTAACTCCTCACACTCATAAACAACAACAACAACAAAAAAACTGTTCTTTAAAAACAGTAGTTACCAAGCATATGATGATTTATGTTATCGGTCTAGTAACCCGTTCAACTCTTCAGACTCATAAAAAGACAGCAAACTATCCGGCAGATCATACTTGGTAGTAATTAGCTGATCGAAAAATATAATTGCATTTATCTAGCCCTCACTCTCCTCATCCTCTACTGCGGTGTAGATACTCTGGTTTCTCCGTTTGATTTGAGGTGTGCCACCCGTGTGACTTGCTAACCCCTGTGTCGTCTCCCCGCTGTTGCGTTTGGGGACCCTGGCTGAAGTGAAGCTCCCCTCCTCTTCTGAGCTGCCCTGAGAGAGGGATGCTGAAGGAGGGGGAAGAGAAAGAGGCCGCAAGGAGCGTAGTGGAGCCTCCGATTCTGGTGCAGTACACGGGGGCGGTAAGATCAGTCTATTAGCCGTCTCTCGCTGGGGACTGCTGTCTCTATCACTGTCCTGGCTCCCCACCTGCCCTTCTGGACCCACTTGCATTTATCTAGCCCTCACTCTCTTCATCTTCTACTGCTGTGTAGATACTCTGGTTTCTCCGTTTGATTTGAGGTGTGCCACCCGTGTGACTTGCTAACCCCTGTGTCGTCTCCCCGCTGTTGCGTTTGGGGACCCTGGCTGAAGTGAAGCTCCCCTCCTCTTCTGAGCTGCCCTGAGAGAGGGATGCTGAAGGAGGGGGAAGAGAAAGAGGCCGCAAGGAGCGTAGTGGAGCCTCCGATTCTGGTGCAGTACACGGGGGCGGTAAGATCAGTCTATTAGCCGTCTCTCGCTGGGGACTGCTGTCTCTATCACTGTCCTGGCTCCCCACCTGCCCTTCTGGAACCACTGCGTCTGTCCCTTTCCCCTCGGCACATTCTACTCCCTCATCCTCTACCTCCTCCCATTCATCCTCAATGGTGATTTCATCAGGGTTGTAGGAGCTGGAGAGGCCGGAGGTGTCAGTGGGGTACTCGCTGGGTTCGTCTACGCTCCCTGTGCTGTCCTCATCCTCCTCTTCTTCAGTCGCACCGGTGGCGCCCTCCTCTCCATAAGCCTGCCCACTCTGCCCAGCCAGGATGTAGATGTCTGTCAAACTGAGGGTGGCACACAACTCTGTGGTTTGGGGGTTGGTGGAGTAGGCCGGGTGGGCATTGGGTTGAGGGCGGCTGGGGTCATAGGCGGGCACTGTCAGGCTGAAATTTTCAGGGATGCAAAGGTCACCGCTCAAATCACTCACAACTTTCATCATAGCTTCCTCTGATGCACTGAAATCCCACCTGAAAGAAGCAGAGGAACAGAATGGCTAAATACTTAGACATAGAAATTAGTTTGTGTGCAAGTCAAGACATTGACTGCATTTATGATTAATACTAGAATTTGGTCTTATTACAATTATGTATGCATGTAATGTAAATGTGTTAACCCAACTGTTATAAACCAGTTAAGCCAATTTCTCAATATTATGTATGCCTATATTAAGTCTGATATTACACTACTGTTCAAAAGTTTGGGGTCAGTAGGATTTTTTTTTTTTTTAAGAAAAGAAAAAAAAAACTTTTATTCAGCAACATGCATTTAATTGATCAAAAGTAACCATAAAGACATTAATAATGTCATAAAATAAAATGTTCAATCAATGCTGTTCACTTGAACTTTCTATTCTTCAAAGATTCCTAAAAAAAAACTATCATGGTTTCCTCAAAAATACCGCATAAGCTGCTTAGACTAGTCCTAAAAGTTATCTAATTTTTTTTCTTCAAGACTGGTCATAACTTTTAAAGTCAGTTACATGAAAAAATGGTCTAATTTGAATCCAAACCGTAAGAAAGACTTGGCTAACTGCTAGCTGGTCAAACTCATTTTTAAGACTCAATCTTAACATAGTAGCTATGTTTATGCAACTAGACCCAGGATTCCCACAGTAATAGCGAAAATAGAACAGAATTTATTGGGAATACAACGAAGGCTTAGCAAGCAATCAGAAAATGATGCGCATGTAAATGCGGTCATTGTAATGTAGTCTATACCGAGTGTGTAGTCCATTGTCTTGTGGGGGGTTCCAGAAATTGCAGGATGGTTTCTGAAGGTTGTCTGTCGCTTTTAAGATGGCCAGCCATTCTGGATCATACTCAAGGTGCTCAGAGGAGCCCGGTCTGTCTGCTACCTCCACAATCTGCAATATCAAAACATTCATTCACTCACAAAGACTAGATCTACTATTTGAGACTCACAATATTTGGACAAAGTGGATACTACTGGAGGAGCTTGAAACATGCTCGTTGATGGAAACAACAGAATCATTACCTGAAGAAAGTCTCTATGTGGAAGACACTTGTCAAGTGAGAGAAACTTGGTGATCTTTGGGGCAGCATTATTCTTAGCCTGTTTTGAAAAATAGCTTGTTATTTACTTCATAATGAATAATAAGCTCTGACATCTACATCTTATCTTAGTGTTTCACACATTTCACATCTGTAGCATGTAACAGCAAGAGAGATATAAAAAGAATAAAATACAGATATTCCAAAAGCATTTTCATAAGCCATGTTGAATTTTTGTGTCATATATATATATATATATATTACACACACATTACTAAAATATATATTAAATGCATACAACATATTACAATTATTTCAAAAGATTGTGTTGGTAGATAGGTTTATATCTCTCCATATATTTATATATACCCACAAGGACCCACCTCATGCTGCATCAGTGCAGCAAACTTCACGTGCAGGTGAGCTGAAAACCAGTAGGTGGGCTGCAGGTGGTCTAGAAGCTCTGCAGCAGCAGGGCTGCCCAAGGTACTGCTCTCCACTTCCTGTCTGAGGAACTTCTTCTGGCGGAGAAGCTGGTTTGTGTTGCCGTAGTGATAAATGCCTCGTGGCCAATCGTGTGTCATGAAGATGTCTATGGGCATCTTGATCTGGAGGAGTTAGGTTAGATATTATACATGGACAGCAAAATATTATGTCCATCTTTTTATTAATTAAACTGTAAATTATATTTTGATTCCTGTTTTCTCTAGATGCATATAAACTAGATTTTTTTTTTAATTCTAAAATGACTGGATTTAAAGATGTCACAAAGATTTACCTGTTTAAGTTTGAAGACATCAATGTTCCTTATGTGGTACACGCTGCGCAAGGTTTCTGGGCTGTATGGCGGTAACTCAAAGTGTCCTGAAATTGCATTAAAAAAAAGTTCAGAAATGTCATATTTGGCTCTTATAACACAACTGATTTGGAATTGTTGAAACTTACCTTTCTTGTAATCGTGGGATTTGAATATTCCTGAAAGACCACCAATCCGTACACCTTTAAAGCGTACAATGCCAGCATAACCTGAGGAATGAGGAACAACAAATCCATTGAGAACTGCTATTTAAGCCAAGTGCTATTAAGAAAACCATAAAAAAACTGATCATACAACATTAGAACACAAATTTAGTACAACTCTTATTAATCTTATTACATATTAAAGGAGACATCAGATGCCCATTTTCCACAAGTTGGTATGATTCTTTAGGGCAGTGATCCTCAAATCTGGCTCGCGAGATCCACTTTCCTGCAGAGTTTAGCTCCAACCCTATAATCAAACAAACCTACCTGTGATTTTCTAATGATCCTGAAGACATTGATTAGCAAACTCAGGTGTGTTTGATTAGGGTAGAGCTAAACTCTGCAGGAAA